CCTCCCAAGTAGCTGGGACTACAGGCACCCGCCACAACGCCTGGCCATTTTTTGGTTGCAGCCATCATTGTTGTTTGGCAGGCCGGGCTGGGGATTCGAACCCGCCACCTTAGGTGTATGTGGCTGGCGCCTTAGCCGCTTGAGCCACAGGCACCGAGCCGACAAGCAAACTCTTAAAACTGAAGCTCTGATTCTTATACAGTTTATATATTTAAAACCCCCCTTTTGGTTAAGCCTATAATATAAAAAATAAGTACTTACTACCAACAAAAGGATCAGACTGGAAGAAATCCAAGTTTGTATCTGTAACTGGATCTGTTAGTGAACTTGGGTCTGCATTAAATGGATCTTCCTAAAAAAATTTAATTAAAAAGCATCTTTTCAGAAACCAAAATTTTAAAAAGTAACATTTTATAGTAAAATAATACACACACTTTGAAAAACATCAACTGAGCTATCAAGTGAGTCATCAGCCCAGCTCACAGCAACCTAAATCTCCTAGTTTCAAGGATCTCCCAGCTTCCCCAGCAGCTGGGACTATAGGAACCAACCACAACGCGCTGCTAATTTTTCTATTTTTAGTAGAGGCAGGATCTTGCTCTTTGCTCAGGCCAGTCTCAAACTCCTGAGCTCAAGGGATCCTCCCTCAGCCTCCCAGAGTTCTAGAGTTACAGGAATAAATCACCATGCCTGGCCAAAAATTTATTTATTTATTTACTTATTTAGCTTTTAGAGACAGTGTTGCCAGGAGAAATAAAAACACATATACACACAAATATTCACATTACTCACTAGGCAAATACAAATCAAACTCACAAGCAGATACTATTTTATCATAACACTATTGTTATGGCCTCACATTCTGGGGCTCAAGTGATCCTCCTGCCTCAGGCTCCTGAGTATCTGGGACTACGGGCGTACACCTCCACATGTGGCTATGAGAACATTTAAATGTAAAATTATTTTTACCTCTTTTGAACGTCTGCCAGTGTCAAATTCAGGACAAACTTCTTCGTTAACAGCTACAGTCAGCACTTCGTTTTCATCAGTCACAGCCGGGGGTGGTATTTCAGGACTGCTTCTTGCCTACAAAAATAGGCAATAATGCTAATGGACTAACAATACACTTTTTTACTTGGCAAAGAAAACTGACAAAGGATAATCAAAAATTATTTAAAAATTTAAAAAGACAAGCAGAACATATTTATTGAGTCTTTCTTAGGAAACAGGTTTCCTCAAGCATCAAAGTCACTCATGTCAGGAGCCGTCTGGACCCCTGAAAACCCCAGCTAGAATAAGACTGCATGTCTTGCTCACTCTCCCTCTTAACTCTTCCTCAAATCCTTTCCTTCTCCATCCTCACTGTCACTGTCATTTACAGCTCCATCATTTCTGGATCATATTATTCTAGTAGCCTTCATTCCAACTGCTTTCCTGTCTCTAATATGTGCTCTTCCAGTCATCCTCCTTGTATCTAATAGTAACCAAAGTGATAGATCTAAAAACGTGACTCTGTTCTTGACTCCTCTGGTTACAAGTCCTTCAATGATTCTACTTTGTTACCCTCTGCAGAGTGCCGTGGTGTCACAGCTCACAACAACCTCAAACTCTTGGGCTTAAGCAATTCTCTTGCCTCAGACTCCCAAGTAGCTGGGACCACAGGCACCCACCACAACACCTGGCTATTTTTATTTTGTTGTAGTTGTCATTGTTGTTTAGCAGGCCCGGGCTGGGTTTGAACCCACCAGCCTTGGTGTATGTGGCTGATGCCCTAGCCACTGAGCTATGGGCGCCAAGCCTCTCCATTGCTTTCTTGACTGAAACTGGTGGGCCAAAGTCTAAAGAAGTAGCAAGGGAAATCTTCATTTTATACTATCCTACATGTTTGAATGATAATCTTGTAGTCTGCCTTTTGTGCCTGAGAGAAGTGAAGGTTACAGAACCATTGGACTTACCGGAGACTCCTGTTGTATGGGCTCAGATTCTAGGTTGCTGGGGCCTTCAGCATGTTCATTTAGGTTGGCCGTTTCACTGCTGCTGGTGCTGAGACTACAATATTCTGTCGCGCCATTTACAAGAATGCTGTGTGGGCTACTGCACCAATTTAACTGATTATTATGATTTTCCAGGTCTTTCATTTCCATCAGTTTCATTTGCATCTACCAACAAAAGTACAAACACAGAATAGAATTTATTACCAGAAAGACATGTACAATAAAAATAGCTATACTCCTAGACTTGGTCGAGGATAAATTTACTTCCTTTAAGTGTAATCTTCTGGGAATGCTGCATGACATACAGGAAAGATTTTAGTAACCTCTCCCAGTAAGTTGTCCTCTTGAAATTCCAGGATACATGGATTTGCTTTTGTATATCGTCTGAAATTTCCAAGAATTCTAGCTCAAATAACTGTGAACTGGCAGTCCTTTGCGGTATAATTAGAAAAAGAAGGGCCAGGGTATTGGGGAAAAAGACAGCAAAGTAACAGAGAAAGAGGAGATGATTTTGTGATGAAGCTTTAGGAGAGACAAAGAAAGTTGAAGGAAAGTACACAAGGCTTGGGAATCATTCATACTTCTATTGAGAAGGAGGGAAATGAAGGTAAAGGTAAATGAGCTAGTGTTCTATGCTCTGGCGGAACTTAATTAATGAGTGAGAACCCTAGAAAGTATATTCTGAACCAGTGGTCTCAACCTTCCTAATGCCACGACCCTTTAACACAGATGATGTCATCACACTGGGTATTGTATGTGGGTGGACTCACCTGGAGATGGAGAGAGAAGAGAGTTCCTAAGACCATGGGAAATAGGTGTTTCCCGACCCCCAAAGGAGTTGCAACCCACAGGTTGAGAACCGCTATAACCCAAAACTATCCAAAGTATATTAAATAAGGGACACTCAAAGTTATTTGATTCTATCATGTAAGTGAACTTGTACTCCTGTAACGATAGTGGGAAACAGAAGGAAGATTTGAATAAACTACTATATTTAAAAAGCCAATGCTTTAAAACAGAGACAACAGAAAAATGTTTGTTTATATCAACATCATTAATAAAGAAAACAAATTTACAAAAATCTCAAAGAAACTGGAGAGAAGGCAGATTCAATAAGTTCCTAGTATAGCAAAGTATCTCAAGAATGGAAGAAAAAGTATCCAATGTACTCAGCCCTACTATGAAACTAATTTATAGCTTTCATAGGAAAGCTATAAGCCAATTTTAGCCCAGGAATATAGGGACAGGGGAGAGAGAGGGGAGGGGAGGGGGGAGGATGGGTATAGGGAGGGTGATTGGTGGGATCACGTCTACGATTCATCCTATAAGGGTACATGTGAATCTTTCTAAATGTAGAATATAAATGTCTTAACACAATAACTAAGAAAAAGATATGAAGGCTATGTTAACCAGTTGGATGAAAGTATTTCAAACTGTATATAGAAATAGTACCCTGTACCCCATGATAGTATTAATGTACACTGCTATGATTTAAAAAAAAAAAAGTTCCTAGTGAAAAAGGAATGACTAAATGAAATTTTAGTGAATAGTGGGAATTCCCATTTGAATTCCCTTTATTACTATGCTGTGTATTTTATTTTCAGCAAACATAATCACCCACTGACCTTTTATATATCAAGGCTCTATCCCCTCAATTTTATTTTCCTTTTAAGATTTTTATTTTATTATGATTATTTTTTGAGACAAAGCCTCTAGCTATCGCCCTGGGTAGAGTGCCATGACGTCACAGCTCACAGAAACCTCCAGCCCCTGGGCTTAAGCGATTCTCTTGCCTCAGCCTCCTGAGTAGCTGGGATTATAGGCGCCCACCACAACACCCGCCTATTTTTTGGTAGTAGTTGTCACTGTTTGGTAGGCTCGAGATAGATTCAAACCCACCAGCTCTGGTATATGTGACTGGTGCCTTAGCTACTTGAGCTACAGGTGTAGAAGATTTTTAAATTGCTCAAATTGGGATCTGTAGTTTACTATAGATCTTTTACAGGCCCTGTCTGGGGAAAGAGCGCTATGCTGATTAGGAGAAAGGTGTAGATCTAGTTCTGTCACCCCCTCTACTACTTAGGTGATCTTGGTCAAACTCTTAAGTTTTTGTTTCTTAGTTCCCAGGGGACATAAGAATTCCACAGATGATTGTTATGAGGCTCAAAAAGATATCTGAATCCTTTAAAATATAAAGGTCTATGGCCAATGTGTGTAAAAGTGAATAGCACACTGCAATTTTCACTATCACAGTGCTTAAGTGTTCCCAGCAACTTGTTCGTCCTCTGTCTCTTTTACACCAAAGGCCTTTCGGTATTTGAGGATTGAGACCGCAACTTATGTTACAAACTTTGTATCTCTAACATCAAGCACAATGATGCATATTGTAAATGCCTAATGTATGTTCGCAGAATGAACACTAGTATTTTATCTATAAATTTAAATAGTAGCCATCAACAAGCACATACATATATATGCAACACACACACATCTACCAAACTGTATTTTATTTAGATTATAAAAAAATCCAAAAACTGCACATGTATAATAAAAGCATAATCCTTCTATACCCTAGTGCTACAGAGCAGTGGCTCATTAAAAACTTATTTTTACTGTAACCCACAGAAAGAAACAGATTATATACATCCTAATAGAGTAAATATATATATATGAGTGTGTGTATATATGGCTATGTTCCTGTATATATGCATACATACACAGAAACATATGAAGACGCATACATGCATAAATGTGGTGTAAACAGTCATATACACACATATACGTGCACATATGGCACTGAAAGTTCATGAATATTTATCCTTCATGACTATGCTATTCCTTATTTCATGAAAAAACAATTTATCATGACCATTAAATCAAATTCTTGACCCACTACAATTTACAATCTAGTATTTAAAACCTTAAAACTAAAATATGAAGATGAAGCAGTAAGTGAAAAAATCTACCTGCCAAACAATTCTAGTTAGGACAGTTTGTTAGTTTTTGTTTTGTTTTGTTTTGAGACAAGGTCTCATTTTGTTACCAATCTAGAATACAATGATCATAGCTTACTGCAACCTCAAACTCCTGGGCTCAACCAGTCCTCCCATCTCTCCCTCCCAAGTAGCTTGGGACTACAGACATATGCTACCAAGCTCAGATAATTTTTAAGAAAAATATTTTGTAGAGATGAGGTCTCACTATGTTGCCCAGGCTTATCTTAAAACTCCTGGGCTCAAGTGATCCTCCTGCCTCAGCCTCCCAAGTGCTGGAATTTCAGACATGAGCCACTACACTCAGCCTTCCTATCATCCTTTAACATTAGCTTCCTTGTAGAGGAACCCAGAAATAAAAAAGCAAAGATCTATACACAAGACCAACCACAACAGAAGGAGCAGAAACTGGAAAGTATTTTTTAACTAAAAGGATATACAAGGGTCCATCTGAACACATTTCTTATTTCACAAAAACTTACTGAACTGATTTCCTGTTGTGAATCTTCTAAGTGCTGCTGAAGAGGTTCTAGCTGAGCCTTCCCTGACTCCACACTCTCCTCCAATTCTGCTGTTTCTTGCTGTAGGCGGCTCAGCTCCTCCCTGGCTTTGGCCAGTTCTTCTTCGTAAGTGGAAATCTGTGATTCCTGACTAGTTATTTCAGCTTTCAGAGAAGAGATCTATAACATGGAAGTAAATAAAGAGGAAAGGAGATTTAAAAAAAGAGGTCATTGGGAGTGACAGTAAGAAAAACAAAGAAGAGGCTGTTAAAATGTTCCATATGCAATACATTTATTTGTTTAGTTCAGATTTTGATGGTTTCTTTTTTTAATTTATTTTATGATTTTTTTTTTTTTTTTAAACAAAGAGTCTTGCTCTGTTGGCCTCAGTAGAGTGCTGTGATGTCATAGCTCACAGCAACCTCCAACTAACTCCTGGGCTCAAGAGATCCTTCTGCCTCAGCCTCCTGAGTAGCTGAGACTATGGGCACCCCAGCTAATTGTTCTATTTTTAGTAGAGATGGAGTCTTGCTCTTACTCAGTCTGGTCTCAAACTCCTGAGCTCAAGCAATGCACCTGTCTCGGCCTCCCAGAGTGCTGGGATTTTAGATACGACTCCCACACCCGCCATTTTGGTGGTTTTAGATGTACGCTTTTGGTAGAGAAGGCTAATTAGGGGAGGGATAGAGGAAGCAGACTTGATGACACAGATACCACATTTTCAACCAAAGTTTGGAAGTACGTTAAGTGCCCTTCTTTTTCCACTAAAGAGGGCTTGTAATTTCTGGATGAACCTTGTTCCATCTCATGTGCCCAACTGCTGACTAGTTTGCCACTTAACAGCAACAACAAAAAAAGGAGAGAATGTTTTCATTTTAAGCTGAGAAACTAAGGAATAGCTGCAGGCAGCACTAAACATCCAGACATTACCAGCTGGGCCTCCTCGGCACATTTCTTTCTGACTTCCTTGAGCTGCTCCTCCAGCTGGGCTTTCTGCTCATCTAGTTCATCAAGGAGTTCCTGTACTTGTTGTTTCTGGGCCTGTAGTTTTTGCAGATTAGTGTTCTCCCTCTGAACTTCATCTTGAAGATCCTGAAATACAACAAAATTAACATATTTATTTCCATTGGGAGCAGAGAAAGGTTAACAATTCAAAGTCCACCTTAAGGGATATAAAATCTTGTCTTACTGAGTATTTTGCGCAGATCCGTTAAAGTACTAAACAACTCTAAATACAACCTTTACTTGAGGACCTTCTTTCTAGAGTCCAGATTTAGATATTCAATTTGCTTACTCAAATCTGTCCTTGAGTATCTGATGGGCTTCTATAAAATGTTGAAAACAGAACTCCTGGCCTTTTCCTATCAGTCTACTTCAACCTCAATCTTCTATGTTTCTCTGAATAAAAAACATGGCATCTTCTTTAAATCTTCTCTTTCTCTCCCATCTTCAAAATATATTCCAAAACTGACTTCTTGTTTTTCAACCCAGGTCCTAGTCACTCTAATCTCTCTCCTGGATGCTGCCTTCAAACTGGTATCCCTGTTTCTGCTCATGCTCTTTCTGTGTATTTTCAACACAGCAGTTACTGTTAAAAATGTATATCAGATCATGTCATTCCTCCATGCAAAACCCTGCACTGTAGCTGGTATGATGGGCACCTGCAGTCTCAGCTACTCGGGAGGCTGAGGCAAGAGCACTGCTTGAGCCTAGAAGCTTGAGGCTGAAGTGCACTAGGATGAGAACAGCCACTGCACTCCTGCCTGGGCAACATGGCAAGATTTCATCTCTAAAAAGAAAATACAAATAAATATAGAATGAAAACTTAAAAAAAAAAAAAACCCTGGCTCAGAGCCCATAGCACCATGGTTATGGTGCCAGCCACATACACCGAGGATGGAGGGTTTGAAAACGGCCCAGGCCAGCTAAACAACAATGATAACTGCAACAAAAATAGCTAGGCGCTGTGGTGGGCACCTGTGGTCCCAGCTACTTGGGAGGCTGAGGCAAGAGAATTGCTTAAGCCTAAGAGTTTCAGGTTCTTATGAGGTGTGATGCCATGGCACTCTACCAAGGGTGACAAAATGAGACTCTGTCTCAAAACAAAACAAAACAAAAAAACCTTATATTGACTCTCCATCTAACTCATTTTAAAACCCAAAGTTCTGGGGCAGGTGCTGTGGCTCACATCTGTAATTCTAACACTCTGGGAGGCTGAGGTAGGAAGACTGTTTGAGTTCAGGAGTTTGAGACCAGCCTGAACACAAGTGAGACAATGTCTCTACTAAAAATAGAAAAACTAGCTGGGTGTGGTGGTATGCCTGTAGCCCCAGCTACTAGGGAGGGTGAAGGAGGAGGATTCCTTGAACCCAGGAGTTTGAGGTTGCTGTGAGCAAGGCTGATGCCACAGCACTCTAGCCTGAGCAACAGAGCAAAGTTTTGCCTGTAAAAAAACCTAAACAAACAGAAAACAAACCAAAGTTCTGGTTATACACAGTGGCTCATGCCTATAATCCCAGCACTTTGGGAGGCGTAGGCAAAAGAATTACCCAGGAGTTCAAGACCAGCCTGGGCAACATAGCAAGATCTTATCTCTAGAAAAAAAAAAGGCCAGTTGTGGTGGCACATAACTGTAGTCGCAGCTACTCAGGAGGCTTAACCAGGATTGCTTGCGCCTAGGAGTTCAAGGCTATAGGAAGCTATTCTCCTACACCAGCCTGGGCGACAGACCAAGACCCTGACCAGCCCTTCCCCCAAATCCAACACCACAACCAAAATCCTTGTTTATAGTGGTCCTGCATGATCCCATCTGACAAT